TGCGCTGGTTGGCCGGGAGTGTGCTCAGTGTCCAGGCGTGTTGTTGTTGAGTGCGGTTGGGTTGTTATTGCTGCTGCTGATGCTGGTCAGTGTGCACCTGGTGGGTTGGCGGGTTCCGCTTGGTTTGGTGGGCGTACGTGGGTTAAACCATTGCTCGGCTGCTCTGGCTTGCGAGGGGGAGGAGGGTCACGAGGTTGGGGTGTGTCGTGTGCGTTTGTGGTCTCCCTCGTTGGTTCTGGGAGGGGCACGTGCTGCACGTGTGGTTGCGTATGTGTTGCACGTGTGGTTGCGTATGTGTTGCACACCCGCGGTGAGGGGCACGTGTGGTGCACAGCGAAGCGCAGGTCTTGCGCTGAAGCGAAAGGCATGTGGCTTGTTTATTGCTGACCGAGTCTGATGCGCTGGACGAAAGTGCCGTGATGAGATCTTTACGGTACTGCCTGAGCCTGCATTACACTAAAACAGGTTAACTCCAGTGCGTAGAGACAAAGCGCATGCTGGCTTAGGGATGCGTCTCCCCGGGGATTTACGGGACCTGAGGCGATCGACGGAGGAGCCGGGGTGTAACTCTGCCATCAGTTTGCTTCCATGTGACTCTCGAAAGGGACAAACGGAGAGAGACAGGGAGCAACATCGACAGCTCTGCTAGTGAGTTTGGGACTGCTGCTGGCACTGTGGTACCACTCGGGTTATTTCCGAATGCCTCCGTCTTTTACAGACAGTCGATCATGGAGGGGTTTTGAGTGCACTTAATCTCTTCTGGGAGCTCTGGGTTCAAGCCGGCTTGGCGTGTCACAGCTGCTGAAGTGTAGATTGCAGTTCAGGTGGATTTGCTGGGAAGCGCCTAGCATGGTAAGCGCGACTGGGGCGCTGTGATGCCGAATTTGCATGTGGGGTGTTCATGCATCCACTGTGCGACTTGGCTTCATGCGTGATAAATCCATGTGACGGGCCCGTAGTGAACATCTGGGAGCAATGTGCCGATTTCGTGAAAGCAGAATGCGAAAGAAATGGAACTTTTCACAAGAAGTATGGTTCCCTGGTGTGTTTGCGAGGTTGCTGGGCGAGTGTTTTTGATTGAGCGCTGGCGTGCCTGACGGGCTCGGCTTTGCCTGCGTCTGTATGTGCTTGTAGCGGATCAGCTGTTTTC